TTCCAAAGAGGAGAACAAGAGACTCCAGAAACTTCTGGACGCTGTTTTACAGCCTCAACTTCGGATACCCAGAGAAGGTCTGTTCCCTTTACCCTTAATTAACACTTTACACTCTTCAGTAGCACTTTATTATCACATTATTAACACTTTAGACCCTTTATCAGCACTTGCTGCAGGTAGTAGATCCTGAAGTAAAAGTACAAACACCACACTGTGAAAATACTCCATTATTGTTTTTAAAGCCCTAAATGGGCTGGCTCCGGCCTATATAGCTGAACTCCTCCAGCGCTACACCCCAGCCAGAGCTGCTGGTAGTGCCCAAGACCAGGCTCAAAACCCGAGGGCACCGAGCCTTCGCAGCAGCTGGCCCTAGGCTCTGGAACACTCTGACCCTCCATGTGAGGTCGGCCCAGACCCTAGGGGTTTTTAAATCTACTCTTAAAACACACTTCTTCTCCCTGGCCTTTTAGTCAGAGCGGAGCACGACTCCTGACTTTTCCCTGTGTTTTTTATATATCTGTTGTAATTTATTGTCTTTTATTGTGATTGTAGTAATGTGTTTTTATGTGATTGTAGTATTTATTACATGTACAGCACTTTGGCCCGACCAAAAATCGCTTTTAAATGTGCTTTATAAATAAACTTTGATTGGATTTACAAGTTAAAGTACTGTATGTAAGTATTATTAGACACATGTACTTTATTATGATAATTAAAATGTATTACGGAAGAGCTAACCTACCAAAATTAATATATTTATAAAAATCCATACATTGAATAATATGCCATTTAATTTACTGATTTAAATATTACCCATACATGTAGGCACTAGTTGGTTAAATGTGACATAATTTGATAATTTAGTTTTAATGTGCTTCTTTATTCACCTTTTCGTTTTAAATGTGAAAAAGCAAATACAAATAAATACTTTGGATTAATTCAAATTGCGCGAGGATAATTCATAAAGAAATCAATGAATAAATATGTTCAATAATAAATTAAACACAATTAAAATGTTACTTGTTAAAGAATAGGGGAACTAGTACAAAGGTCATTAGGTAATTAAAACGTTAATATAAATGAATGTAAAATCTTATCAATCAATTATTGCCAACATGTATTTATAATATATATATATATACACAGAATATATATTTTGAGAGAGATATACACTAGTATTAGACACAGTCAAAAGTTTGGACACATCTTACATGTCATCTTCTCATTCAAAGTTTTGTATTTATTTAAATTGGTTCTACTTTGTAGATTTTTACTGAAGACATCAAAACTATAAAAGAACACATATGGAATTATCTAGTAAACAAAAAAGTGTTAAAAAAATCCAGAATATGATTTATATTTTGCTGGCTACTGCAGAAGGCTGTGGTAGCCATGCTGGTTAAGGGTGCCTTGAATTCTGAATAAATCACCAACAGTGACACCAGCAGACGCCCCCCCCCCCCCCCCCCCCCCACCACCACCATCTCACCTCCTCCTCCATGCTTCACAGTGGGAATCACTCATTCAGAAACCATCCGCTCACCGTCTGTGCGTCTCACAAAGACTCGGAGGTTGGAACCAAAAATCTCTAATTTGGACCGATCAGACCAAAGTACAGATTTCCACTGGTCTAATGTCCAATCCTTGTGTTTCTTGGCCCAAACAATTCTCCTCTTCTTGTTGTTCATCCTCAGTAGTGGATCTTTGCAGCAATTGGACCATGAAGGCCTAATTCACGCTGTCTCCTCTGAACAGTGCATGTTAAAGGTCCCATGTCATGCTTTTCCTGTTATTACCCGTCCCCTTGTGTGTTATGTAGCGTTTTCTGCAAACGGTCTGCAGAGTCACAAACCCTCAAAGTACACCCAGTAGAGAGTAAAACTCTAACACAGAAAATACATGTCTATTTTTACGACCCGCCCTCTACTCTGTGGTAGTGGCTCGTGGGGAGACCCGCAACATAAAATAATACACGCAAAAACCACTTGATTACGATCATTTATTGAAGTACAGCCGTTTACTCACACAAGCAATCCGGCAAACGAAAAGAGGTCTGGAGGACTGGCCAAAAGAAACAAACAGAAGGAGGTAACCCGAGCCAGCCACACCACGGGCCGTAGGACCCAGAGTTTCCCTCCCCTAACCAGAAATCAAATAAATACCCTATGGGAAAAAACTGGACCACCAGAGGACTGTACTACGAAGCAGGATTTTCACTTAGCGAGCTAACTTCAGGGAAAACTCGGTGTTTCCGGTCCTACGACGCTGGTTCTCGTTTTAGCAGGCTAGATCTTCTCCATGGTAACTTATGCTGTGCGGCTAACCTTCCCCGGAGCAGGTTAGGTTGCAGGCTAAGAGCTCAACTCAGTGAAAGCACTGCCTGCTGACCAATCAGAGCTCAGTGTGCAGAGTTTAAAGCGATCGAGTCATATTACAGGAGAAAGGAAATACAGAAAAACTGCCATTGCAGGAAAGACGGCAAATCAACTGACTGTGTGAACGTGAACATTAATAGAATATCACCTCCCATCTTCAGAGCAATCTGACTAATATAACATTAGCGTTTAGAAAGCTTAATTAAATATCTGCCACAACATAAGTAACCGGATCAAAGTAACAGTACAGTCCGCGGCATATCACATCATAATGTATCATATATTTCCTTATCTGAGTCAGCTGGAGCAGCAGGAGCTCCAACAAGGCGTGTAGGACTGTTACGTCCCGACCAGATTGGAATTGGTAATAATTATAAATGGCTTTATTGTAAAAGGGTGAAACAAAATGGCAGGCAAGCAGCCTGAAACAAACAAAATGGCCAAAGGGCGCCGACTTAACTAATGAAAAAAACAAAGGAGGACTCCAAAAGGGAGTTTGACAGATCATACAGAGTAATAATTAAATAAAAGGGGAAACAAAAACCTCACGTTAAACGTGGTACATGTAACTGAAAAAGCTGTGCAAAAACCACAGCTGCTGCTGATCGACAGGTGCTAACCGTTACGCTACCCTGGAACCTATTTACACATGTACACAGTAATCTCTTATCACACACAGAAGCACTGGGTTTAACACGCTGCTAAACAGTACAACTTTAACACATAACACAAATGCACTAAATGTCAACCAAACAAGTAAATGCACCAAGAGGCTTAGAGGCGTCTGTCCCACATCACAGAGCCTCCAGAGTGGTGATAGTCCGCGGCCTTTGTACTCCTCCCCAGCAGGTGTGTGCCGGCTGTGCTCTGCGATTGGATGACGTCAATCCAATCACCATCTTCAGAGGCGGACCAGAGGATGGGCAGCCAATGACGTCAGGGCTACTGCGCAGCTTATTTACATATTACACGCACAGCTGAAAACACTCGCAGGCAGATTAATGAGCAGACAGAAACAGCAACCGTAACAAGGACAGAGAGTGAATACACATACTATACAGAGATGCTGTATGAGAAACCAATGTGGTTTTGGAACATTGAACAATGTAAATCTATTCTAGTAGACCTCAACAATGGAATTATGATCAGTAGAAATGGCCATGTCATGGGACCTTTAAGATTGTCTGCTCCTTGAGCTCTTTGATCATCTATGTGGGCTCTAATCTGAGGTGCTTTTAATATGTGGTTTCTGAGGCTGGTAACTCTGATGTATTTATCCTCTGCAGCAGAGGTAACTCTTGCTCTTCCTTTCCCGGGGGGGGTCCTCATGAGAGCCAGTCTCATCATAGCATTCGATGGTTTTTGCGACTGCACTTGAGGATACATTCAAAGTTCTTGACATTTTACGGATCGACTGACCTTCATTTCTTAAAGTGATGATGGACGGTCGTTTCTCTTTACTGGGTTGAGTCGTTCTTGCTATAATATGGATTAAAACAGCAGTCAAATAGGGCTTTCCACTAGGGGTGTTGAAAATAATCGTTTCTACGATGCATTGCGATGCAGACGTGGACGATTCGGTCTCGATGCAGTGACGGAAGATAACCGATTATTCACGTGGTAGATTTTCCGGCAGCAGCTGAACAATAAAGATTTTCAAAAAAATTAAAACGTCACGGTAGCAACGTAGCATTGCATTGTGGGTTACCGAGCTAGTGCAATAATGGAGGGAGTCAAAAGCAGTGCGCAAATAATAAAAAACGCTCCTAGTATTCTGAAAGCAGACATCTGGACCCATTATGGGTTTTATCAACTAAAAGGGAAAAATGAACTGGACAAGTCGCACGCTGTGTGTAAAGTGTGTCACACAAAAGTAAAATACCTTGGTGGCAATACCACTAATTTGAGGAACCACCTTAGCCGTTTTCACTGTGAGAAGCTAACGTCTGCCACCAAGAACAGCGGACCCAGCCCAGCGAAGAATTGATGAGGTGCTGTCAACTTTTCCGCCTAACTCTGAGAAAGCGAAGACAATCACCCAGTCGGTGGCAGCTTTCATAGCGAAGGACCTACGTCCTTATTCGGTCGTGGAAAACGCCGGTTTTCGCCACCTGTTAAAGACGCTGGAGCCACGGTATAAGCTCCCATCACGTAGCCACTTTACAGAAAATGTCATACCTGCACTCTACAATGGAACCAAAGCCCAGGTAATGGCATCAATGATCCAAGCTAAAAGAGTTGCCATAACATGTGATGCCTGGACTTCTGTCGCAACGGAGTCTTATTTAACAGTAACGGCACATTACATCAGCGAGGACTGGCAGTTTTTGTCGCATCTGCTGCAAACTAGAGCTGTTTACGAGTCTCACACAGGTGCGCATGTTGCGGAGCTACTGTCTCGTGTAGTGGAAGAATGGCAGCTATCAGACAAAGATGTAATGCTGGTGACAGACAACGCGTCTAATATGATCGTTGCAGCTGAATTAGGAAAATTCCCTCATGTGAAATGCTTCGCCCATACACTGAATCTTGCGTCCCAGCGGGCGCTTAAAGTGGCCACCCTCTCTAAGCTACTGGGTCGAGTCCGACGGATTGCAACATTCTTCCACCGCAGCACTACAGCGAACCACTATCTGAAAGAGAAACAGAAATGTCTGGGCCTGAAAAATCATAAGCTGATAACTGATGTTGCCACAAGGTGGAACAGTGCATACGACATGGTCGAGATGTTCTTGGAACAACAACCTGCAATATGTGCCACCTTGCTGTCTCCAGAGGTGAGAAAAGGACAGTCAGACCTCTGCACTCTTAACGAAACAGATGTGTCAAATGCAGAGGACGCTGTGAGTGCATTAAAGCCAATGAAGGATGGAACCACTCTGATGTCAGAAGAGAGCAATCCAACTGTGTCTCTCATTGCTCCAATAAATGCACAACTCCTCCAGAACATGACAGCCACCATTGGAGACTCAGCGATGATCCACGCGATCAAAAATGCCATCACAACAGATCTCCTGAAGAGGTACAACGGTGAGGCAGAAAAGAAGATCCTTCATACAGCCTCTGCCCTGGATCCCCGTTTTAAGGGACTGCCTTTTCTAACAGTGGAGGAGAGATTGGAGATCTACAGAGGAGTGACTGAGGAGGCTACATCCTTGGAGGTATTTTCACCATGTTTCATGTAAACTTATAAAATAAAAACAAACTTTACAATATTAATAATAGTAGCTACAATGAGTGAAAACGTTCTATAGTTAAAGTTAAGTTAAAGTTAAGTTAAAGCCTTTTATTGTCATTATACACAGAGTATAACGAGATTCAGAGTGCAACTCTGTCCCGGTGTGCAAAAAATACAGACAAATACATAACACTAAAAAACATGGCAATAGGACTAGGGTTGGGAACCGAAACTCGGTTCCAGATGAGAACCGATAAGAAAATGCCGGGTACCAGTACACAATACACCTTTTCGGTTCTGCTTAACGGTTCCTAAACGCGGTAGACCCTGTATTCCAGCGGGTCCGTCTGTACCGCAGCGACCCGGTGGAATACAGGGCGGACCTGGAGAATCACAGAACGGCCGGTCGTCAGCGGGCCGTTGACGGCCGGCTCGGTACGCTGATGGCCGGCACCGCCCTTAATTTTTTTAAACGGCATCATGTAAGTTGCGCTGACAGGCGACAGAGGTCCACAGTTGCCCCGCAGCGAGGCTCCCCCCGCCCTCCCGTAGACAGTTCACGAGCTCAGTCACTTCATAACACCAAAGATGGGTCGCGGTAAACGCTCTGAAGTGAGGCTCCACTACACTAAAAAATAAAATTGGGCACAGTGTTAATAGCTTGCCACAGGCATAGCTCAGTTAAAATAAAGCACAGCTATTGTGCAATACATTTGTATTGCATGTATATTTTTTATTTGTAACAATTTCAGTTAAAGCTGAAAAGAATAAAGATATTTTTGTTAACTAAACGTTTGACCTCTTTCTTTTACAATTTTGGAATCGAAACGGGGAATCGATAAGAACCGGAATTGATAAGCAGAATCGGAATCGGAATCGATACATTTCAAACGATACCCATCCCTAAATAGGACAGACAACATACAATCATACGGGGAATAATATAGTTAAAAATATTGATATCAAAAATAGTATATAAAGTGCATTTAAAATTGTGTGTATGTGTGAGAATGGTTACAGTTATTGCATTATGTGTGATGGTTGAGCAGTCTATAAGACTGAAGAATAGAATAGATGTGAGCTGTTGCATTGACTGAGAAAGTGCTAACTGCTATTTTAATGCTATTTTCTATTATTTTGTTCAAACATAGAATGAGAGGACACTCAGGAGGACAGAAGTGATTGACGGCCCTTCTGCTCCCAAAAGAAAGGCCTCATCATCATCACTTCTCGTGAGTTTGCTGGGACGGTCTTTCACTGACACTGAAGGTACAGCAGAACCCAAGACCCCCTATGCCATTGCTGAGGAGGAAATAGAGAGATACTGTAAAGCATCATCTCTCCCTCTGACTGAGGACCCTTTGAACTGGTGGCGTGTCCATGAGATCACATTTCCCCTCCTCTCACGGGTGTCAAAGCGATACTTGTGTATCCCAGGCACAAGTGTGTCTGCAGAGCGAGTTTTCTCCACTGCAGGAGATGTGGTCACCGCAAAAAGAAGCACTCTCGAACCAGAACATGTGGATCAACTAGTGTTCTTGCAGAAGAACCTACACATTCCCAAATGCTGAGCAGTGAGTCATGTTTTTATTGTTTGGCACATTCAGGAAGTGCCCTGTGCCCAGTGCTGCTATTTGAAAACATTGTTGTAGATTACAGCACTGCAGAATGTTTTGTTTTTGAGGATTTACCTTTTTTTACACTATAGGTAGGCCAGGCCTATACTATTTATTTCATTTCAATTTAATAAACATGTTGATATGACACACATGGTAGTTCAATGCTACCTGTTGTCACACTCATAATGATGTTTGGCACTTTTAGGAAGTGCCATGTTATAGAGCAGAAGACAAAGAAGTGGTTTGATCGATTTGTAATGTACTTTCTATAGAATAAAAAAAGTTCATATTTATCTGACTGATTGTATTCATTGATGAAAAAGTGTCCATACAGTAATATTGAAAATTGAGGATGCAACTCATTGTTATGCACCGAAATGCACCGGGATATCGAACCAAATCGAATCGTTGACAGGATAATCGTAATCGAATCGAATCGTGAGACCAGTGAAGATGCACAGCCCTACTTTCCACTGTGCACTAACTCTACCTCTGCACAACACAACTGATGGTCTCAAACACATTAAGAAGGCAAGTCATTCCACACATTGACTCTTGACAAGGCACACGTGTTCATTGAAAACCATTCCAGGTTTCCACCTCATGAAGCTGACTGAGAGAAGCCAAGAGGGTGCAAAGCTGTCTTCAAGGCAAAAGGGAGCTACTTTGAAGAATCTAAAATAAAAATCATATTCTTGATTTTTTTTTTAACACTTTTTTGTTAACTAGATAATTCCATGTGTGTTCTTTCATAGTTTTGATGTCTTCAGTGTTCATCTCCGAATAGAAACATATTAAAATAAACAAAAAACATTGAATGAGAAGGTGTGTCCTAACTTTGACTGGTACTGTATATAAAACACACACATTTTAATATTTAGCAGGTTCCCTCATCTATAATCATTTATACAAGCGCAACTTTGAACATGTACAGCAGTAAAATGCAACATACGAAATAATCAAGAAACATCATACATTAAACACCGTCAGGGAACATTTTACTGCACCATCATTACTTTTACATAAGAAGGTGCCGTCAAATGTTCTGTTAATACTTGCATACTGTTACTTAAATAAGGTTTGAATGCAGGATTTTTATTTGTAACAGAGTATTGTAATTCTCTACTGTAGGCGTAGTGTATCTGTGAACGATCCCAAATACAATTCATTGTTTACATTGCAGCTAGTGCTACGCCAGAAGTGGAAAGGGGCTGGGCTACATAAGTTGAATTGAGCCAACACAAATACACGATAGGTGGGACTAAGAAAGATAATTTGAAAATATAAAAACAAAGGCATTAATTAGGGCTGCAAAATGTCTCCCATTGTAATGGTGATTAGATTTTTAAATGCCAACACTTAACAGTTTGTTCTGACTGTGTGTTTCCTGTTTCCTGCAGATGTCCAGCTGCTGGTGGTGGTTAAAGAAGAGTTTCTCCCTGACCAGCAGGAGTGGCGCACCAGTCTGGACCCGGAGGACCCAGAGCCCCCCCCACACATTAAGCAGGAACAGGAGGAACTCAGGATCAGTCAGGAGGGAGAGCAGCTTCAGGAGCTGGGGGAGGCTGAGATCACCAAGTCCACTTTCACTCCTGACCCTGTGAAGAGTGAAGATGATGAAGAGAAACCTCAGTCCTCTCAGCCTCATCAAACACAAACTGAACACATGGAAACAGAAGCTGATGGAGATGACTGTCGAGGACCAGAACTAGCCAGGAGCTCAGATCCAGAGAGCAGTTTACAACCAAAGACTGAGGACGACACTGAAGACTCTTCTGAACCTGACACTGAAGACAGTGCTGATTGGAAGGAGGCCAGAGAACCTGCATCAGGCTCAAACTCACTGAAAAATAGACATGAATCTGTCAGTGATCCACAACCTAGTGCTGAAAATAAACCATTCAGCTGCTCAGTCTGTAAGAAAGCTTTTTCACGGAGTGGGCATTTAAAGGCCCATAAGAGAGTCCACACAGGAGAGAAACCATTCAGCTGCTCAGTCTGTAAGAAAGCTTTTTCACAGAGTGGAGATTTAAAGAAACACATGAGAGTCCACACAGGAGAGAAAGCACACAGCTGCTCAGTCTGTAAGAAAGCTTTTTCACATTGTGGAAATTTAAAGAAACACTTGAGAGTCCACACAGGAGAGAAAGCACACAGCTGCTCAGTCTGTATGAAAGCTTTTTCACAGAGTGGAAATTTAAAGACACACATGAGAGTCCACACAGGAGAGAAAGCACACAGCTGCTCAGTCTGTAAGAAAGCTTTTTCACAGAGTGGAGATTTAAAGAAACACATGAGAGTCCACACAGGAGAGAAAGCACACAGCTTCTCAGTCTGTAAGAAAGCTTTTTCACAGAGTGATAGTTTAAAGAACCACATGAGAGTCCACACAGGAGAGAAAGCACACAGCTGCTCAGTCTGTAAGAAAGCTTTTTCACACAGTGGACTTTTAAAGAGACACATGAGAGTCCACACAGGAGAGAAAGCACACAGCTGCTCAGTCTGTATGAAATCTTTTTCACAGAGTTATAATTTAAAGAACCACATGAGAGTCCACACAGGAGAGAAAGCACACAGCTGCTCAGTCTGTAAGAAAGCTTTTTCACACAGTGGACATTTAAAGAGACACATGAGAGTCCATACAGGAGAGAAAGCACACAGCTGCTCAGTCTGTAAGAAAGCTTTTTCACAGAGTGCAGATTTAAAGAAACACATGAGTGTCCACACAGGAGAGAAAGCACACAGCTGCTCAGTCTGTAAGAAAGCTTTTTCACGGAGTGATAGTTTAAAGAACCACATGAGAGTCCACACAGGAGAGGAAAAATAGAGCTGCAATGTTTGTGAGAAAAGATTTAAATGGCATAAGTGTGTTGGTCGTCAGCTGCTTCTGTAACTGTCAGGGAATACATTTGTCTATTTTGTGTCCTGATGACCTCATGCCGTTACATGTAATGCGTAACTCCCTAAGCCTGATTTCACCCACCTGCAACCGATTCGCTAATAATCACAAATCTTCATTTTCTTTGACCCCTTGTCTCGACTATTTCTTGTTTAATAATCGTTACATCTCCTCAGGACCAAGTTCCAGTGTCCTGCCTTTCACCTGCTGATCACCAACTGCTCATTTAAGGTGGACTCACCTTTACAAGGGACCAGCTAGTCTTAGTGTCTTAATGCAAATGTTTTGTAAAGTGATGCTAGACCAAAAACGTGCTGTTGGGTAGTGTGCTCTCTGCAGGACGGTGTCTGTACTCAAATATTGTTTATGAAATGAGAGCTTCATTCCGTTGTTGTTGTCTAAACAACGCCAACAGTGCGATACGTCTTCTTTCCAGTAGATGGCATACATGTTACATCATCCAGTTCAACTGTCATTCACATATTAATGATTCAAAACAGCAATATGTAAGATATGGCTAGTAATTGATCATTTCAACAGAATGTGAAGAGGTTACAGTATTGAGGCCATGTCCAATATGTTTATGTTTTGTTTGAATACATCTACTGAAATGAGCATTCAATGACTAAATTATTCTTAATTACTGTCATTACATCATGGGTTTGCATTGCAATATTAGAACGCATTAAACCCAACTTTAGTTCTTCCAAGTTGCGGGTGTTCATTGTTTAGAAGTCTGCTGTGTTTCATCCAAGCTTCCACTTTGTGCTCCGATAATGCTGAAAGTATCTGTTGTATGCTTTACCTGCTCCAGTAACAAAAGTGTAATTCACTGGACAGAGACAATAGATAGTGGATGGATCCCGTAGATAGTCCGTATAGAACTCCAAAAACCTGAATAGAGCTAGAAGATAGCCAGTACAAAGCCAAGAAAGACCAAGTAGAAAGACAGGAAGGAGCCAAAAGAGTTTGTGTTTTTTAATATTCAAGCTCTTCACTTAAGATATTAGAACTTCCTATCTCAACATGTGTCCTTTTATGTCAATTAAAAAAACCTTACATTTTTGCTGCCAATTATTGAGATTGTTTCACAGCTTTATGTTAAATATATAGACTTGTATCTTTACATATAGATTACATAGGATGAACAGCACGGTCCACTCTGCTGGATTCTGCCCAAATCTGCTCCAAATGCATGCACACATCTCGCTGTATCCATACTCCTGCATTTGTATTGTTCTGGATTCATAGTGAAGTGTATTAGATGTAATGCACTCTTATTGTTATGTATTTAATATAAAGTGAAATACCCATAATGTCAGAAAAGAAAAGAGACTCACTTTAGGAAAAAGGTTCTGAACCAGTGAGAGTTCTTCATTTGCATATAAACATGGTAAAATATTTAAAGTTGTTACCAGATTGTGTCGCCATAATCCGTGTACCTACGGTCCATTTGTTTTTCTTTATTACACAAGTAAGCGGAAGAGTGCCTGAGAGGCCTTTTTGTTTTAGTTTTTTTACCTTACTAAATGGTCTAATGATCATTGGAGCGAGGGGCAGGGCGAAACTCGCGGAAGTGATTTAAAGGAGACATGTCATGGCCACTTCCACTGATCATAATTCCATTGTTGAGGTATAGAATATTTATATTGTGCAATTTTCCAAACTCACATTGGTTTCTCATACAGCATCTCTGTAAACTACGTGTATTCACTGAATTTCACTCTCTGCCTTTAACGGCTCGTTGTAGTAGCTCCAATAGCTCCAGCCCCCACCCTCCCTGTGAGCACAGTGTGCTCTGATTGGTCGGGACGTTGTGAATCGCGCTGAGCTCCGTGGAGTTGTTGTTTCCTTGTTTAGCGATACACAGCCAAACTCATCCTGAGCACACACAAACTCACAGCCGAAGTAAAAACAATAAGTGTGGCTTGATATTGAGTAAGAAAAAGGTTGATAAACGCTGTGAGAATGGGTCTGCAGAGAGAATTTCGCCGCGATCCCAACTGTCTGTTATCTGTGTGTGTGTGTGTGTGTGTGTGTGTGTGTGTGTGTGTGTGTGTGTGTGTGTGTGTGTGTGTGTGTGTGTGTGTGTGTGTGTGTGTGTGTGTGTGTGTGTGTGTGTGTGTGTGTGTGTGTGTGTGTGTGTGTGTGTGTGTGTGTGTGTGTGTGTGTGTGTGGATTGGTTGATTTGGACCAATCAGCCTGGTCATAGCTCTGGGCGTGGCTACAGGGTGTTCAGACGTCAGAATGTCCAGGAAGAACATGAGAAATCTCCAACGAGGCGTTTTGGGGAGGTTTTGTGTTAGAGTTTTACTCCCTACACTGCTACAGGGTATACTTTGAGGGTTTTTGACTCTGCAGACCATTTACAAGCATAAAAACCTTCATAACACA